TTTTTCCTTTTTCGTGCGCGTTGTGTTGCGTGTGTTGTGTTGTGTTGCGTTGTGTGTTGTGTTGTGTGTTGTGTTGTGTGTTGTGTTGTGTGTTGCGCTGTGCTACGCTGTGTGTTGTGTGCTGTGTTGTGCTGTGTTGTGTATGTTGTGTTGTGTTGTGTGTTGTGTTGTGTGTTGTGTTGTGTATGTTGTGTTGTGTTTTGTGTTGTGTGTTGTGTTGTGTATGTTGTGTTGTGTTTTGTGTTGTGTGTTGTGTTTTGTGTTGTGTATGTTGTGTTGTGTGCTGTGTGTGTTGTGTAGATCCATGTGCCCAACCCCAACCCTGCATCCCATCCCATTCCCATCCATCAGTGCCCGCTCGCCCACATCCTTTGCCCCTCTGTCTGTGTGTTGTGTTGTGTGCCATGTTGTGTTGTGTTGCGTATGTTGTGTTGTGTGCTATGTACGTATGTTGTGTTGCATTGTGTGTGTGCTGCGTGTGTTGTGTTGTATTACGTGCGTTGTGTTGTGTGTTGTTGCATTGTGTTGCCTTGTGTTGCGTATGTTGTGTTGTGTGCGTTGTGTTGTGCTGCGTTGTGTGTGTTGTGCTGCATTGTGTGTGTTGTGTTGTGTATCCTGCGTTGTGTTGTGTGTTGTGTCGTCTTGTGTGTGTGCTTGTGTCATGTTGTGTGTGTTGTGTGTGTGTCATGTTGTGTTATGTTGCTGTGTTGCATTGTGTTGTGTGTGTGTTGTGTGTTTGTGTCGTGTTGTGTTGCTTTGTGTGTGTCATGTCGTGTGTTGCGCACATACGCTGCGTCACGTTGCGCGCATGCTGTGTTGCATTGTGTGTGGTGTGTTGTGTTGTGTCACGTTGTGTTGTGTCACGTTGTGTGCTGTGTTGCATTGTTTGTGTTGTCATGTTGTACTGTTGCGCTGTGTTGTGGCGTTGTGCTGTGTTGTGGTGCTGTGTTGTGTTGTCGTGTTGTGGTGTTGTGCTGTGTTGTGGTGTGGTGTTGTGCTGTGTTGTGGTGTTGTGGTGTTGTGCTGTGTTGTGGTGTTGTGTTGTGCTGTGTTGTGGCGTCGTGCTGTGTTGTGGTGTTGTGTTGTGGTGCTGTGTTGTGCTGTGTTGTGGTGCTGTGTTGTGGTGTTGTGCTGTGTTGTGTTGTGGTGTTGTGTTGTTGTGTTGTTCTGTGTTGTGGTGTTGTGTTGTTGTGCTGTGTTGTGGTGTTGTGTTGTTGTGCTGTGTTGTGGTATTGTGTTGTTGTGCTGTGTTGTGTTGTGGTGTTGTGTTGTTGTGTTGTGCTGTGTTGTGTTGTTGTGTTGTTGTGTTGTGTTGTGGTGTTGTGTTGTGGTGTTGTGCTGTGTTGTGTTGTTGTGTTGTCGTGCTGTGTTGTGTTGTGTTGTTGTGTTGTTGTGTTGTGCTGTGTTGTGTTGTTGTGTTGTTGTGCTGTGCTGTGTGTTTTCGCAGTGTGATACCAATGCTCACATGCAGACATCAAACCCGATCACAACGACCTTTTGGCAACAGAGAGTTCCGTGAAGTCATTAATGGGGTAATTAATTTTTTGCTCGTTTCTGGCGGTCGGAGGGGAGCAGAGGAGGGGTGGCAGCGGCCATGCAGTGACATGCACATACCAACGGCACAGGGGAAAAGGGAAAACGACGCCCAACAAAAACCGAACGCCTCGTCGGTTTCTTCTCCTCCTCCGGAGTTGGATTCGCTGTTTTGTAAAGTGACCAAAGAAAAGAAAATAAAAATATCTCACATTATAAAAAGTATTCAGCAAAATACTGCTTTGTTTTTTTTGTCTTTTTTTTTTTTGTCTTTTTTTTTTTTTTTTTTTGTATGTGTGTTTGGTTGGTATTATTATTATTATTTTTTTTTTCATTTTTTGCTGCGTTTCTGTAAAGAATTTCCCTTCCGACGGAGGAAATCGATGGGGGAAATAAAAGGGGGAAGGGCACCGGGGCAGAGCTGGGGGGCTGTGGGGCAGCTGTGGGTATCGGGAGCCCAACCGCGTGGTACCAGGATGGGGTGGGCACTGTGGGTGCAGAAGGGCCGGGGGGGTCGGGGCACAGCACTGCTGGGGGCCGGGAGGTGTGCGCCCACCGTGGGATCCCCCATAGTGCACACAGCTCCGTATCCGGGTTACTGGGGGGCACCCGGCCCGGTTCCGGTACCGGGGAGCCCAAATCCCAACCCCAGCAACGGGTCTGTGCACATAGGGGTGCCCGAATCTCAACCCCCGGCACCGGCTCTGCACGTAGGGGTGCCCATCCGCCAACCTCCAGCAGCGGTTCTGTGCACCACGGTGCCCAAATCTCAACCCCCGGCACCGGGATCTGCACGGCGCAGCGCCCACATCCCAACCCCACCGCGATGCCCGCACCCCGACCCCCAGCACGGGCTCCGCCACACCGCGATGCCCGAATCTCAGCCCCCAACACCGGGCCCCACACACCGACGCGCTCACATCCCGACCCCCAGCGCTGGGATCCGCACACCGCGATGCACCCGACGCACCGGGATGCCCCCATCCAAACCCCGCTGCCGGCACACACGCGGCCCGACCCCCGGTACCGGAACGCTCCTGGGTTAGGCCGACCCCGGGATGCGCACAGCCCGACCCCGGTACCGGGCTGCCCACGCTGGGACGCCCACATCCTCAACCCCGACGCCGGGATGCGCGCAGCCCGGCCCGCCGTACCGCGACGCACACAGCGGGATGCGCACAACCTGAGCCCGGGACGGGGCTGCGGGTACCGGGATGCGCACAGCGGGACGCGGACCCCCCAGCCACGGGCTCAGGGCTGCGGGTACCGAGCTGCGGCCGATCCGATCCACGCAGCCGGGGCAGAGCGGGGGGAGAGCGGGATAGGGGGCGGGGGAGTGTGCGGGCGTCCTTCCTCCGGTCCCGGCCCCGCGCAGCGCTCCGGGGCTGCACCGCTCCGTCCCCGAGCAGCGCTCAGGCGCACGTGGTGACAGCGGGGGTGAGGGCGACGGGGGGCGAGGAGGTGGCGACGGGAGGGGCTGCGGGGGGGGGCGGCCCGGCCGAGCCTTTCTCGGCCTTCTTCTCCTTCTGCTTGAGGTGGATCTTGGCGTGCCGCTTGCGCTCGTCGGAGCGGGCGAATTTGCGGCCGCAGAACTCGCAGGCGAAGGGCTTCTCGCCGGTGTGGGTGCGGATGTGGGTGGTGAGGTGGTCGCTGCGGCTGAAGCTGCGCATGCAGATGCGGCACTGGAAGGGTTTGTGGCCCGTGTGGATGCGCAGGTGCCGGGTGAGCTCGTCGGAACGCGAGAAGCGGCGGTCGCAGCCCTCGGCCGGGCAGGCGTGGGGCCGCTCGTGCAGCGGGGTTTTGCTGGGCCGGTTGGGGTATTTGCGGGGCCGGATGGGTTTTAGGGTCAGGGGGGGTTGCGGGAGCCCCCCGAAGCCCGGGTGGATCTGTTTGTCCTTGAAGGCCTTGATGGTCTCCAGCGGGGTGATGGGCGGCGGGTTGACGCGGATGGGGTCCAAGCTCTGGAAGGGTTTGTGCTCCGTGATGGCGCCCATCTCGTTGGGGTGGTGGTAGAGGTTATAGTCTGGGATCATGGGGAACAGGTTGCTGTCCAGGGCGGGTTTGGCCGCTTGGTAATCCTGCGGGGAATAGGTGAGGCCGGCGTTGCTCTGCGGGTCGTGGAAGGAGACGGGCTCCGGGTAGAGGTCGCTGCAGGAGGAGTAGGGCGGCAGCGCGGGGTACATCTGGTCCACGTCGCCCTGCGGAGGTCCCCCCATTCCGCCCCCCGAGCTCTGCGTCCCGCTGAGCGTCCCCGCGGCCGGCGGCACCCCCAGGATGCCGGCGCTCATCAGGCTGATGATGTTATCCTGGCACCAATTGGAGGGCGAATCGAAGGCGAACTTCCCCAGGTAGGTGACGGTTTTGTTGCCCGCGGCCGGCTGGAACGTCCCCGAATAGGACGACAATTCCTGGTTGGGCTTTTCGTTCCCGATGCCAATGTCCATCACATTGTCTGCGGAGAGAAGCGGGGCAGGGTGAGCCGGGCGGGGACGGGGCTGTGCGGGCCCCCACCCTACGTCCGCTCGCTAAATCCCCCCTCTCTCCCCTCGGCCGCCTCCGTGGGGCTCCGCTCGCGGCGGTGCGCGGTGCCGGTGCCGGCACACGGAGCGGCGCTGCCGCCCCCGCGGCCCCATAGGGGTGGGGGGCCCCGCGGTACAGGTGGGCTCCGTGCCGGGGGGGGGGGTGCGCAGCGGAGCTCCGCGTCCCCAACTCCGCTTCGCAGACCCCGACCGGCGGGTCGGAGCCCTGAGCGCGTCAAACCCGCGGCCCCGAACGCCGGAGGCGAGAAACGAGAGAGGCTTTGTGCCCCCCCCCATCCCCTCCCGCAGTCCCGAGCTCCGGGGGAAGCTCCCGCGGGGCCCCCCGCGCCGCCGCCGCCGGGTGGGTGGGAGCCCACGGCCGCGAGTGTCCGCGGCGCCCCGCGCCCACGCGGATCCCCGCTCGGAGGTGGTGGTTGTTGGGGCGGGGGGGGTTGGGTGGGGGGCGGCCGGCAGCCCGCGTGTCCAAAACCCCCCGCACCGCCGCCGTGAGGAGGGTGGGAGCCGTAATGAGGGCGGGAGCCCACGGCCGCGCGTGTCCGAGGCGCGGACCCCCCCGCTCGGGGGGTGTGGGGGGTCGAGGGGCTGCCCTCTGCATGCGTGCGTGCCCCCCTCCCCGGTACCTGCGGCGGAGGTTCGGGCTGAGCGCGGCGCTCCCGCAGCGCGGAGGAGACACAGCGAGCAAAGCGGGTGGGTGGGCGGTCACGCGTGGGGGCGGGGGGGGGG